GGGGTGAATAAGGCGTTTGAAAACTTTTCGGAGTTTGATAAAAACGGTGTTGGCAAATGCGGAAGCAATAACTAAAACAGAAATAAAAGCGTAAATAAAATGCACACCGATTTTATACTGGTTCGGGAAATGCCTACTCCAGTACCTCGAGGCTCCTCCTCAAGGATTTTTGAATCCACTAAGTCCCGACCTCTTGAACTCCGTTAAAGCACCGCACTAGTTTTGGCAAACAACCCTTGCCAATAGGATTCACTCCGAGATTTCACAACGGCTATCTCGAACCGTTTAGAATGAAGATTTAACAGCTATCTTCTACCGTTCCCCCAAGGATTTCAAAGGCTATCCTTGAACCTTTACCCAAGGATTTATACGGCTATCCTCGACCGATACAATATGAGAATTTAACGGCTATTCTCGACCGTATAAAGATGTGTTTGAAAAACACAAACAAGAGTTCTACACAACAGCTTGAATATAAAAATGAAGAACACAACTTAGCCGGTGTAGAAGAAAATTATACTCTCTCAAAAATACAATATAAACTTATGAATATGAGAGTATATAACTAGAAACACAAGCTCAAAGTGTGTGTATAAAAATTAGGAATTTAAGGCTCTTGAAATAGCCAAAATATTGAAAATAATTAATAAAAGAATGAACACACTTAGACTATAAAGGGAGGATGTTTAGAGCTTTGTTTCCTGAAGAAATATGAAGGATTAGGCTTGTATTTATAGTGGAAGATGTTAATTAGCCGTTGGAGGTGATTAGGGTTGATTTAATTCAAAATCTCAAATCAGGAACAGTAACCCAACGGTCACGGTAGGCCGGTACCGTCCTCACGGTAGCAAGGTACCGTGCGTACGGTAGGAGGTACCGTGAGTGGCGGTACCTCGGTACCGTGTAATACAGCAAACCAATCCGGCTCTGGCGGTACCTGTCCTCTAACGGTACAGAGGTACCGTGCCGGCGGTATAGGGTACCGTGTCGACGGTATGGGGTACCGTTTGGGGTGCCGTACCACTGTCCTGCGTTTTCCAAAATTCCCTTAATCCTTCGTGTTTGAGTTTAAAACCTTTTAGATATTTGAAAATGTTTATGGGATGGTTTTAAACATATTTTGTGAGTGCTTTTGAGCTTGTGAATATAGGTATATAAAATCATATCCTTACATTGGTTTCAACCTATATTCTACGCTAGTTTAGTGTTTCGACTTCATTCTTGAGTACCGAATCTTAATGGATTCTTGTTTTACCTGAAGCACTTAAACAAACGTTAAGCTCTTATATTGTTTGTTAACATCAAAACATGAGATTTAGCAAACCAAGGCTAACAAAGGGTGGGGGGTAGACATGGGACGTGGGCCCAATAGGCCCGAGTTATGATTTGGGTGAGGTGAGTTCCAGGCATTGGGTCCGCTGGGATAAGTCCGTTGCCTCGAGCTGCTTTGTCGTCCACGACCTCTACCCCGAGAGCCGTTGCCTCGCCCGCCGCCACGTCCATAGCCGTTGCGCTGTCCGAAGGAGCTGCCCTCACCGTAGCTGCCGCCGTGCTGGAGCCCGCTGCCATGGAAGCTGCCTCCGTGCTGGGCCCCCCCGCTGCTGCCGCTGGATGGCTGCCGACCGCCGCTGTTGGCGCCAGGCCGACCGGCGAGAAGAGCCGTGCTACCGGTGTCGGCCATGGGAGACCGCTGCCGGTCCAATAACATGAGAGCGGAGCGGGCTTGTAGAAAAGTGGGCAGCGGATCTTGAAATTGAAGAAAAGATGTCTGGGCCTGCAGATCCGCGGGGAGACCACGAAGCATCTGAAGAACAAGTTGGTGCTGGGACATCGGGGCATCAATGTCGTCTAGCCAATCGGCAAGATTTTGCAGATGTTGACAATAGGCCGCCATGGTGGTGTTGCCTTTGACGGTGGTGCGGAACTCGTGTTCTAGTTGCATGGCACGAGTGTTCTTGTTGTCGTGAAACAGATCGTGAATAACCTTCCAGAGATCAGAAGCGGTGGAGACAGAGGAGATAACCAGATCGGAGACTTCGTCGGAGATGGTGGACAGAATCCATCCCTAGAGGAGAGCGTCAAGTTGGAGCCATTCATCGTCGTCTTCAGAGAGGGGGACGACGGAGCCGTTGATGTAGCCTTGGAGATTGAATCGGCGAACTAGGAGGAGAAAGAGGCGACTCCACTTCTTGTAGTTCGGTTGAGAGAGGCTGAGAAGAACCGGAACATGGAGTTTGACGTTGGAGATCGTCGTGAAAGCAAGATGAGGAGTCTTTGCCGGGGTGGCGTTGGTGTTGGAGGTGACCTCGGTGTCGACCATTGGAGAGAAGAGAGAGCTGGCGACGAAAGGAGGAGAGGAGGAGAGGGGTTGCTGTCGACGACGAGAGGGAGAGGCGGCGCTGCCGCTGGAACTGCCGAGAGGGAGAGGGAGAGCCGAGAGGTAGGGTTAGGGTTTCTTCTTTTTTTGTTTAATTAGGCTCCGATACCATGAAGAATAATAATTTTCATTAATTGAATAGGTTGTGGTTACATGTATATATATAAGAGGAGTCTCAATCCTAAACAAGGGAGGAGAGACACAAGTAAGGAAACCTATACAAATAAGGTAAGAGAATAATACAATATATTAAATATATATAATATATTTAACAATCCCTCTTTTGATGATGAGAATAACATTTGCATCCAAAAATACATAAATGTGGTCATATAAGTTCCTTCCAATTTAATTTTCCGTACAGAGATACCCCCTAACAGAGTAGAGTGTGCTGGATTAATATAGTAGTCTACTGTTTGTATACAGCTAGTCTCCCCAAAATTTAATATGTAAGCCCACCTGAAAAGGAAGTGCACGAGCCACATTTAGAATATGAAGGTGATTTCGTTCGTCCCTCGCATTCTCCTTTGGAGTCCAAACATGAGAGGTCTCATGCACCATCCCATTGGTGCAGGAAAAAAAATCTTTCTAACACTGACACTCAGCACCATTGTCACTTTAGACACATTTAATTTTCACCCCACATTTATGTTCAACCATTGCATTAAATTCCATAAAGAGAGTCCCCACTTCTCTTTTGCAATTAAGTAAATATACCCAAACTCCACACGAATAATCATAAATAATAGCCAAAAACATCTTAGAACCATTCTGTTTAGGACAACAATATGAACCCCATAAATCACAATGCACAATATCAAAACTTGCTTTATGTTGATAAAACTAATTGAGAAATTGGTACGAGGTTGTTTAGCAGAAATACAAATGTCACAACTGTTATTTAATTTGCTATTCCTACTAGATCCAGCCATCGGAACTAAATTTGAAATATGTATGAATGGATGCCCTAGACATTTATGCCAGAGATAAAACACATTCTCTCTTGTTATGTGACATGCCTTTTGATCCCCTGTCTCCTGAAAATAGTAAAGTTCTCCATATTATTCACACACACCAATCAATTTCTCCGAATTGAACCTAGGTCATGTAATACACAAGACTTTCCTATAAATCGTGCTTCCCAATTGTTCTCTTTTGTCTATTTCGAAATTGAGATTAAATGACAACTGAAGTTGGGGACAAATAAAACATTCTTTCATAACAAAGTTTTGGTCAAACGAGTCATTCATTACTAATTAAACAGACATAATTTCTTTCCCATAAAGTAATCCAACTTCACAGGGAAGAATAATAATAATATCACTTAACTGTGACATATCATCTATCATATGATTTGATGCTCCTCTGTCATTAATCCATCTATGAGGTGGAAAAATACTTGTTAACTTTTAGTTGAACCAAAGATGTTCAAAAATTGGGCAAAGATGAGGATGAATGAACACCGTTCGTTCCAGTCCCATGCACGACGTGCACGACTACCAGGTCAGTGCCCGTTCCACTGCCGTGACTTTGGTCAGTCGCTGCTGGCGTACCATGACCTCTACGACCAGCCCTCGCCCAGCTGTCCTTAATCCACCGTTCGGTCCACTTCTATGACCGCGGCTAAGACCAAATCTTCTGGATAACTGTGTAATATGTAGCATTTGTCAATGTCATGTCCTAGATTTTCGCAGTTGGTACAAACAATTTCTTTTTTAGGATTGGTCCACAAAAAAGGTCGATGCCTCCGAATCTCCATCCGCAATGTGGTTTGCATGATGTGTAGTTTTTGTCTTGGTCAAAATATTATGGAGTCGATTTACTGTGGGTAAATAATACCCTGACAAGAGTTGAGAACAAATGGATTCATATTTTGCTTCATCAATACCCATCCAAAATTAATGGACTTCTTCGTATTCCCTTTCCTTCAAGAGGGATGCAGCGAGACTCGCCACACATTTGGCACAAAGACAGTCAGGAAATTTGTCAAGTTCTTGTAAATCATCCAATAATTTTCTCATCTTACCATAATAATCAGAGATGCTAAGTCGTTTTTGTTTGCAATCCCTCAATTCACGCTTCAGTTATTTGGTTTGAAGTCCGTTCACAACTGAGAAACGAGCCTTCAATTCATCCCATAAATCTGAAGCCCATTCGCCGAGTGATATCGAGGATCGTAACAATGGTTGAGTCGTGTTACGAATCCAAGACCCCACCAATCTTCCAAATCATCAGAGTCCGTTTCGGGTTTTGCAATATTCGATCAACAAATCTAAATTTCTTGAGAGCTCGAAGAGCAAGGCGTAAGGATTTGGACCATTCTTCATAATTAGAGCCTTTGAACATAACTTGAGTAAAAAGCATACCCGAATTATCGTTTAGTTACATATTGTAGGGAGAGATACGCCGTGTCCGTATGACCATATATCGGATCATCATCATCATAACAAGGTGTTTTTTTATTCTTCCAAGGGGTCGTACAATACCGGTCGCTGAAGATGAGAGGGACCAGAAAAAGAAACAAGGCGCTATAGATGGCAGAAAATACTAATTGCTAGGTAGGGTTTGGAAATATTTGGATGTGATACCATGTTAGATTTGTGAGAACAATCTAGAAAATATTTCTGAATGAATCATATGAAGAGTACAAGGCTCTATACACATAGGAACCCTGGAACTCTTGTGCAACAAGGAAACAAACTATACAAGAAAAAGGAATATTAACAATACAAAGAAAGGAATAAATAAAGATACTACAATAATTACATTCCTATTCCTAACAACTATTAATTTCTACTCTTGTCTCTAAATAGATTACACTTTGAATTCATGGACTTAAGAAAATTATTGAAAAGTAAAAGAACAAGTCATTACATTTTTTAAAAGAAAGAAATAATGTGGGCAATATATTTCTTTTTATTGTTTTTAATACGGAGTAAAAAATTAAAGAAATGTAAAAAAAAGTTACTTAAATAACACTAAAACATAGTGAATTTCTCTATATAGCACCACAAGTTTTAATTTCTATAATTAGTATCTAATTAATTATTAATTAATTAATTATTAATTTTAGTGCACTAAAGTGCCCTTTATATGATTTTATATTTACCGCCCATCACGCCTTACCGTCCTTCACAAACCGTCAATCACAAAATGCTAACGTCACTGGCCCGTCGCCACTCCGTTAATGTCTACTCCCTCCATGCGTTAAAGATCGTCTTGTTTACTATTACGCTATCTTGACAACTCTTATTTGTTTGCATGTTTTCATTGATTATTTGATAAAATAAAATATTACTATCATCTCTTGTTTTGTAGGGTTTTTGATGTAGTTTTTAAATTTAAATTTTTTATGTTTTTATTTCTTTACCAATTTGTAGATAAAATAAATTTTAAAAGTAACAAGGTTATACACATTGATCAAAATGGAAATTCTTTTAGGGACGGAGGGAGTATTACTCATTATTTAATGACTTCCATGGTTCAATCTAATACTATCCAATATCGTTGCTAATGTCTACATATCCATTGCCAAGACATTGTCGCTTAAAAAAAGACATCATCGCAATTATTAATGTACACTGCAGTAGTCACCAATATCCCTGATCAGTAAACAATGTCCATAATATTTACAGTGTCCCATGTCCATAATCTTTACAATGTCGTAAACCAGTGAACAATGTTAAAAAATTTTACAATGTCCATGAAAAAGAAAGTACAAGGAGACGAATCAAGGAGAGAGAGTGGATCAAGGGGAGAAAAAATATAGTCTATATTTTATCGGCCCGGTTCTATGGCCACTGGATTCCAGTGGCCACGGAAGTCACTGCCCCCCTACGGAGCTCCATTCATAATATTGATGATTTCTACCCCCCTAACCCCACGGCAAACCCCCTTGCCAAGTCCCGACCCAAATTCATCCCCTCACCTACGTCAATTGCACCTCGTAAGTATAAAGTCAAAACTTTTGACTTTAAAGTCAATTATACTTACGAGGTGCAATTGACGTAGGTGGGGGGATGAGTTTGGGTCGGGACTTGGCGAGGGGTTTATTGGGGGGTTGGGGGGTAGGAATCATCAATTTTATGAACGGAGCTCCGTAGGAGGGCAGTGGCTTCCGTGGCTACTGGAATCCAGTAGCCATAGAACCGGGCCGATATTTTATATGGTGTACAAAATAATTAAGTTACAAAGGCATTTTAGTAATGGATATTATTAACAATTAATTAGCTTAATGTTAGTTGTGAAAAAAACCTATTTAGTGCTATCTGGAACAAATTTGACAAATGAAAATTCTATCTAAAAATATCTCATAATCGGAATATGTAACTTTTTGAGACGGAGTATATAGAAGAACAAGAAAGAATTGGAATCACCATTTTAGTTTCCTTAAAAGAAATCTGCAAAATGAAACATTTTTTAATATATCTAAAAATACTTTGACTTTCTTATATTAATAGATTAATATTATGCTAAACTTCTACATAACTTTATTCTTTTTTATTAACTTAAAAATATAAAAAGGTTTATGAAAAATTCTATGATCTGAAAGTTTAAAATTGAAACTCTTAAAAATTTTGTAACAAACCAAATAAGACTAAAACATAATGATTTTCCTAATGTAGGACTTAAACTTTTTTATTCCCTAAATAGGATTTAATAATGACCTAGTGGGAGGAATAATGTCCAGTAATGATGGACATTTACTTGAATAATGATTACTTCATAATGACCAAAGGTCTTACATTGGGAAATAAAAATATATGATCCTACATTGAGAAAGTCATTATGTTTTAGTTCTATTTAGGTAAATTTCTCTTTCCTATATATTCGGGCACACATTGAACCGTCCCAACGTTTGTAATATCTATAGAGGTGATACTCTCTAGTCAATACAATTTCTTATTTACGAGTTAAAATCTTATATTTTTAAAAATCAATTTATTTGTTACTTGGTACCAAAATAATTAATAAAATTTGCGTATTAAAAAATTACGTCAAAATTTTTACAAAATAAGAGGTGACGAGAATATTTTATTTTATTTTATTAATTAATCAATAAAAATACTTCATAATTACAAACAAAAATTATCAAGAGGTAGATCCAAAAAAAGTTGTAATCAAATTTAGGACGGATGAATTATAATCTATATATGACAACAATTTCAATGTTTTTTCGAGCACACCGTTTCAATGTTTAATTTTAGGATTTTGTAATGTTATTCAAAACGTTAGCTTCTCGGTTTAAAGTTTCAATATTAATCTTTAGGGTTAAAAAATTTATCTACTCCGTATAAGACTATCTAAATCAAAATTAGGGCTGTTCACATTTAGGTCCGGACCAAAAAAACAGATCGAACTGGATCGTTAGGTCCCGGCTGAACGCGGATCGAATGGATTTCGGGTCGGTCTTCGATCCAGAAAATTTAGGAATTCGGGTTTTCAGTTCAGTCCGGTCCAAATTAAACCCGAAATGATTTAGGTCCGGATCGACTGGACCTAAATACCTAATGACCCTACTGGACTTAAAAGACCTAAATAGTAAAACTCTGTTTTTTAAGTTCTGTATTACACTTTGATGCTCTATTTTAATAAATATCTTAATTTATTTAATTAAAAAAGGTTTTTTATTAAGTAATTTTAAACAAAAATCTAAAAAAACGTTTCATATTAGTTTTTAAGATTCTACATAGAGTAGTTCATATTGTGTATCTGTTTTTAGGTTGCCTATTTTTTATTCTTTTTCTATTTGAATGGTACAAAGTAAAAAG